ATCAATATAACAATATGGAATTTTTGTTGTTCTTTCTTGTGTCTCTGCAATGCTAATTATTTCAATTTGTTTTAGATTATTTACCGTTTAGATTAATTTTGAATTTGTTAAATTAAAAGGAAAATTTGAAACACAAATCGAAGAAAAAAGAACATCGTCAACTTTTGAATCTTCTACAGTTCCACATAAGTAAATGTTGTTTTATTTTTAAAATCTCAGGTTTCAATCTCATTTTTGTCTAATTAATGTGTTATGTTTTGTGGAAAAAATTTACTTATTTTTTTCGTAAATAAGATGCTATTGATAAAAGCAAAAACTAAGTAGTCTTAAAAGCTTAAAAATGCTCTGTTTTACTCTCTCTCCCTCCAGTGAAAACAGAGTGTACTCTCCCCTAAAGAGAATCTTTTTTTATTTTCGGAGTATTTTGATGTTACACTCGACTTTTTTAATTTTATATGAATATATTCCTTCATCTTTAACAAAACTTTATATTCCATTTTAATTTTTGGAACCATATTCACATTCGGTTATAATTTTTGTAATAGTAGATTCCATAATAGTTTCAGAAAATAGATTTTAACAACAAAAAAAATGTATCTGTTAAAAAAAAAAAAAATGTATCTGTTTTATATATTCAATAGTTTGATATGGCCAAATATTCTTTTTCATCAATGAAAAACTAAATTAGAAAGTTTTTTCCCTAAAAAAAAAAGTTTTTTTTTCCTTTCCTTTTATAGAGTCACTACAACTTGTAATAATTTATGTATTTTGTTATTCAGAAAACGGTTCTAAAGGCAAACTAGGGAAGGCTGCTCACTTGGAGGATTGGATCACCACAATCACATCGTTAACCGCAGGCGAATCGGCCTTCAAGGTCACGTTCGATTACGAGAGCAATTTCGGTTACCCTGGAGCATTCTTGATCAAAAACAGCCATTTCAGCGAGTTTCTTCTCAGAAGTCTTACACTTGAAGACGTTCCAGGCCATGGCAGAGTCCATTACATCTGTAATTCTTGGATTTACCCTGCTAAACACTACACTAAAGACCGAGTTTTCTTCTCCAACAAGGTAACTAAACGCTTCTCGACTAATATTAGTCTAAAGATGTTTTTTTTATATGATGTTGTTTACTTCTGTTTCAGACTTATCTTCCACATGAAACACCAGCGACGCTACTCAAGTATAGAGAAGAAGAGCTAGTGAGTTTGAGAGGAACCGGCGAAGGAGAGCTCAAGGAATGGGACAGAGTATATGACTATGCTTACTACAATGATTTAGGCGTCCCACCAAAGAACCCACGACCTGTACTTGGAGGGACACAAGAGTATCCTTACCCAAGAAGGGGAAGAACCGGGAGGAAACCGACTAAAGAAGATCCTCAAACCGAGAGCAGGTTACCGATCACATCGAGCCTAGATATATATGTTCCACGAGATGAGAGATTTGGACACTTGAAGATGTCTGATTTCCTTGCTTATGCTCTGAAAGCAATTGCTCAGTTTATCCAGCCTGCGCTTGAGGCTGTCTTCGACGACACTCCTAAAGAGTTTGATTCTTTTGAAGATGTTCTTAAGATCTATGAAGAAGGAATCGATCTACCAAACCAAGCTTTGATTGATAGTATCGTTAAGAATATACCGCTTGAGATGTTAAAAGAGATATTCAGAACAGACGGCCAGAAATTCCTTAAGTTTCCAGTGCCTCAGGTCATCAAAGGTGAATACATTACATATTCTTGATTAGTGATAGTAACAACTTATTTCCTATGGTACAACTAACGTTTTCGATCGAACTAATCTTGATTTTTTTGGTTTTCTAGAGGACAAAACTGCATGGAGAACTGATGAGGAATTTGCTAGAGAAATGTTGGCTGGACTTAACCCTGTTGTTATTCAACTTCTTCAGGTGGAAAATCGATGAACTCCGTCGATAACGAACATTGGTTCTCTTAAGTTGTTCTGCTGTTTTTGCTGTTTTACAGGTTATGGTCTGTTATCTTGCAGGAGTTTCCTCCAAAGAGCAAGCTTGACAGCGAATCATACGGTAACCAGAACAGTACGATCACTAAAAGCCACATAGAACACAACTTAGATGGACTCACTGTTGAAGAGGTAAGAACTTCAATCGAATAGAGCGGTAATCTAATACCGAAGTCAATTTGAAACTAATTTTCTTTTGCTGTTTTAGGCTCTGGAGAAGGAGAGGTTGTTCATATTAGACCACCATGACACACTGATGCCATACTTGGGACGTATAAACACTACCCCGACCAAGACTTATGCAAGTAGGACACTTCTGTTCCTGAAAGATGATGGGACCTTGAAGCCATTGGTGATAGAGCTGAGCTTGCCTCATCCTAATGGAGACAAATTTGGAGCAGTGAGTGAAGTATATACGCCTGGTGAAGGCGTCTACGACTCGCTATGGCAGTTGGCAAAGGCTTTTGTGGGTGTAAATGACTCTGGAAATCATCAGCTTATTAGCCACTGGTAATGGATACTTAATGCTTAAGCTGCGGAAAAACTGTTCTATTTACATGATCTAAAGTTAAAGTTTTGGTTTTTTCAGGACGCAAACACACGCATCGATTGAACCTTTTGTGATTGCCGCGAACAGACAGCTGAGTGTTCTTCACCCGGTCTTTAAGCTCCTTGAACCTCATTTCCGTGATACGATGAATATCAATGCGCTTGCTAGGCAAATCCTCATCAATGGTGGTGGTATCTTTGAGACCACTGTGTTCCCTTCTAAATATGCCATGGAGATGTCATCTTTCATCTACAAGAACCACTGGACCTTCCCTGACCAAGCGTTGCCAGCAGAACTTAAAAAGAGGTAATGCATATTTACTCAAATCTTTCAATATTCTACTTTGCTTGATGATGCAATTAGAAGAGAACACAAAGAGGTAAACTATAATCTGCTGTTGTTACGGCTTTTCGATTTGCAGAGGAATGGCCGTTGAGGATCCAGAAGCACCACATGGATTACGACTGAGGATAAAAGACTATCCTTTCGCTGTGGATGGACTTGAGGTTTGGTATGCTATTGAATCTTGGGTCCGAGACTACATTTCCTTGTACTACAAGACAGAGGAGGATATCCAAAGCGACACCGAGCTCCAAGCCTGGTGGAAGGAGGTGCGCGAGGAAGGTCACGGAGACAAAAAGTCAGAACCTTGGTGGCCTAAAATGCAAACCCGTGAAGAACTTGTGGAGTCATGCACCATAATTATTTGGGTGGCTTCTGCTCTTCACGCGGCCGTTAACTTCGGACAATATCCAGTTGCCGGGTACCTCCCGAACAGACCAACCATAAGCCGTCAGTTCATGCCAAAGGAAAACACTCCAGAGTTTGAAGAACTTGAGAAGAATCCGGACAAAGTGTTTTTGAAGACAATCACAGCTCAGCTTCAAACGCTTCTAGGGATATCTCTAATTGAGATTCTCTCTACACATTCGAGCGATGAAGTGTATTTGGGACAGAGAGATTCTAAAGAATGGGCGGCCGAGAAAGAGGCGTTGGAGGCGTTCGCGAAGTTTGGTGAGAAAGTAAAGGAGATTGAGAAGAACATTGATGAGAGGAACGACGATGAGACTCTCAAGAACAGGACTGGTTTGGTTAAGATGCCGTACACTTTATTGTTTCCGACCAGTGAAGGTGGAGTCACCGGCAGGGGAATTCCAAACAGTGTGTCCATCTAAAACAAGTCTTACTTCAGGATTGTGTCGTCAGTTTGTGTTCTATATCCCATGGTTTACTTGTTCTACAAGTTATAAACTTTGATTCTTGTTATTAATTGGTGTGGCCTATAATAAACATCAGAATAAAGCAGTCTATACATATTAAAATTGTGTTGATCAATTTATCCATAAGCATTATAAAAGCTGCATGCCTTTCTCGATCCCACTTGTTCTTCTTATGTTGCTCTGCCAGATTTGCTACTCCTTTTTCATTACGAGCATGAGCTGCAAAAATCTTAAGTTGCCAATTCTCTAAAGTTTCTCTAACAAACATTGCCCGCGATGCCGTGATTATGTTCTTGAATGTGGCCGATGTTGTACCAAGACTTGTTGAACTTCTCCTCCATCCTTCTATATCTGTGGTAATTAATTCCTGCTCTTCGCACCGTTGGAAATATAGTTACTGGAAATGATCTACAAACGCAGTGTGTGATCGATAGTGGTGCTTTACCATGTTTTTCCAACCTTCTAAATCAAAACTATAAGAAAAATATAAAGAAGGAAGCTTGTTGGACGATTTCGAACATCACTGCAGGAACAAAAGAACAGATCCAGAAGGTAACAGAGGATAATTCGATTTCTACCTTGGTCAATCTGCTTCAATATGCTGAATTTGACTTTAAGAAAGAAGCAGCATGAGCAATTTCAAATGTTACTTTAGGTTCTCATGATCAAATCAAGTACCTTGTGGAGCAAGGATGCATAAAACCGTTATGCGATCTTTTGTTATGTCCAGATCCAAATAATTGTCTGCCTTGAAGCATTGGAAAACATCTTGAAGGTGGGAGAGGCAGAGAAGAATTTGTGTAATACAGGGAACATGAACTATTACGCGCAGCTGATTGATGATGCAGGAGGGCTAGAAAATATGGAGGAACTTCAGAACCATGACAACAATGAGATCTATGAGAAGGCTGTAAAAATTATGGAGACATATTGGCTTGAAGAGGAAGATGAGGAGGCACAACAACATTAGGTTCTCAGGCCGGGTTTCAGTTCGGGTGGTCGGTTTAAAAGTACAGAGTCTAAGAAAGTGTTTGGTTTCAGTGTCTAGAGTCTTGCTTCTTTTTTTTTTTTTTTAAATGACCGATACAACACACTGGTAGTGAGTCTAGCTACTCTTGTTATCTGGATGTATCATTCTGAGACAATATATCGAATCTCAACATTTGTAACAGATAAATCCCAAGAAACATGCAGAAATAAAAGCACAGTGAACGTTACCTATCGAAAGAGAGACCCTCCTAAGATAATGATTCATATGAATTGAAACTGGCATGAATTTGTTGTAGCCCTGACAACATTTTTCAAATCTTTAACCACTACAAGCCTCTCTTCAGAACTGATACATTTTAGGGAGAACATAGCTTTCTTCAAACGGTTCGTGTTCTTTAAAATGTATTTCGCCACTTCTACCTCCTCTTCTCGTTTCCATTTGTAGCCTTCCCACATGAATGTCTCAAGATGAAACAACAAACATTCTGGAACATTCTTTGGTTGATTCCATTCTCCACTAGCCTCAACAAAGTTCATCCAATCTATGTCCTGAGACAAACAACAAACATTCAGAAAAACACAATGTATGTTATAGATAATATATCAAGAAGTATCGCTTACATCGATGAGCTTGAGGACTTGCAGTTTAGGAGAACTATGGAGCACGAGGGGAAGTAGTTTCCACCATTCTTTTTTATTTGTATATACCTCCAAATATACTAACTGGTTGAAGATGATACCGGTAGGAAACGTAAACACCGTGGGTGTTAAAGCCAAGGAAAGACGTTTAACCGAAGTGAGAAATACCAGAAGTTTCTCGTCGATTATCTCAGAGACATCGGTAATATGTACCTCCATAAGCTCCGGTACGTTCTCAATCATAAAAGACTCAAAAGCCTTAGACCCTTCAAGCTTCAAGTATTTCAAAGAAGGAGTATTTATCACATAGCCCCAATGTTGTTGTCTACCACTGCCATTATGAATTGCTAGTTTCTGTAAAGATGGCACTACAATAGTGAAAGTTTTCACACTACTACTTGAATTTCTACGCATTACCAAATCTTGAAGATTAGGACAGCCAGATAAAAGGTTAATAACGGATTCATCGTCTTTGAAGTCCACAGCTAGAAGATGCAGAGTTCTAAGGGATTTCAGAGAAACCGAAGAAGGGACATCCATAACAACATTAAGGATGAGTTTCAAAGTCTCTAGTGTTTCACAGTTATACAAGCTTCTAGGAAATGCAAATGACCCTCTGTGAAAGTAAACTTCTAGTACCAACTTACGCAAATTGCGAGTCATTGCAATTCCAATCAAGATTCCAATATCCACTGCATTATTACGTCCATCTAAACGAACTTTGAGACCAAAACTCTGTAGAACCGGAGCCTTATGTGAAAGCAAAGACTTGCAAACATTCTCTAGGTCAAGTCTACGAAGGAAAGAATCAAACTTGAGTTTAGGCATCATTTTCCAATGAGACTGCCATTTTTTGGACAAAACACTCGTGGTTATGGCAACTTTTGTAGGAAGTAAGCATAATATCTGTAGAATCAAAGCTTCAGGCAACTGACTAATCTTATCAGTAACAACACTTCGATTGTTCATAATTTCACTATCACTCCTCTGTCAAAAGACAAAATGAAACAACAAGAAAATTAAAATGAGTTTGTTTTCAGTTTTGGAGCTTTTATAAAATCCTAAAACAAACAAAGAAACTAACCATCGTTTTCATTGGAGAATTATGTGTATTGCTTCTGATGACAGATAACGTTTACTTCTTTACTCTGGAGGATGACGGCTGAAGTTAGGGTTTTGGAGGATGAACGGCCGAGGAGAAGGTGATGGTATCTTTTTTTTCTTAAGTTGTGGTAATTAAAACGTTTTAAGTACGTAAAGAAAAAAATGCTAGTGATTACCAAAAAAAAAAGAAAAAAATGCTAGTGAAGGTGAAACAAACCGAGGAATTTATTGTCCGGTTTATCGTGACCGGATTGATCAATTGGAATTTTGCAGAATATGATTGGTTTGTTCAATTTTGATAAACCCATCCAACAGTATATAACAAAGTTAATTAATGCGGCATAAGTGATTTAACATCTCAATGACACGATGGTTAGTTTTCTCCGTATGTTTTAGGGTTTCGTAAATGTATAGATCCAAAACTCAAAACCAACTTATCTTTTGTTGTTGTTTTATTTTGGCTTTTGAAAGCAAAACAGACGTTGTTGTGGATGCAGACAGGATCAGTCAATTGCCCGAAGCTTTGATTCTCCAGATATTATGCTTACTTGCCAAGAAATTGTTCATTGGAACCTTCAAACTGCACATGTTCTTTGCGGTTTCCTATCTTTTTGCTGGTGCGAGTTTTGATTACAGAGAGATATTGAGAAATGAGCTTGTTGATAATTAGTTAGAAGATGAAATTGATTAAATTGTTCAGTGAAATGGCAATTGTTGTTTCGATATGGAGAACGGTAAGAGCAGCCCCAAGTTGCAGCTCATGCTTGTAAGAAAAAACATTAGCAAATATGGCGGAGCAACATAGGAAGAACAAGTGGGATCGAGAGAGGCATGCAGCTCTTTTTTTTTTTTTTTTTTTTTTGAATAACCGCGGGTCTCCCAAAGACTTCCTAGGCCCACGGACTAATCCCACGAGGCTGGCAATTCCCCTATGTAAACCTGCCAGTGGCCGTGCCTCGAACCCTGGTGGCGGAAGTCACAGCTGTGACCCTTTTACCACTAGGCCACAAGGCCCGGTTATCATGCAGCTCTTATAATGCTTACTGAGCAATCTTTCCGGATTGAGAAGCCTCCTGTGTAGGCTTTTGGAGCTTTCTTTGCTTATTTTTCCTTTCTACTTTGGCCATGTTCTTTTCCGAGTCGCTGCGACTCATTTGAGCGACGAAAAAATTCAGTCTTTCTCCTTCATAATTTTTTTCCCAGTAAAATATCGCTGAAACCCAAACCAGCGATTCCGGCTAGATAATTTCTAAAGGTCGCTGGCGTCATGAAAATCGCTAAAAAAACTGCTTAAAACTCCGACTGTTTCGTAACAACACAAGTGACAGTTATATGTCAAAAGTGGTGTAGAAAGCAGGGGAGCATGTTATTTGTAAGTCGCTCAAATGAACCTCTGCGATTCAAATAAAAGAACAGGGCTAACTTTGTTTACTTTTCTTTTTCATATATATATTCAGCATCATGATATATGGACTGATTTTGTTTCCAATAATTCTATCAAAATCTTTATGGTTCCAATTATTTTCGGTATTTGCAAAACAAATCACTGTTTCTGCTTATTGGACTTTGTTCGTTTCTTAACCTACATAATATTGAATGAGGTCCATGTAGTTCCAGAGAATTAGTTGGAGACTTATGGAACAAAACACTTGAGAGCTCACACTGATGAAATCTTCCACATCGATTAATAACAAGAATCAACGGCTAACCTTCGTTTACTTGTTCTTAATCGATGTGGCCTATATACGAGACAACAAATCAGATTCCAAACCGAAGTTTCTTCTATAAATTAACAACATATGATAAAATTCGAATTCAAACCGAAAACCGAAACCTTGCCAAATTATTGATTCTACGTTTTAGTTTGGATACATTATTCATATACCAAAAATCGGAATAAAGGGAACCAACTTCAAACTGGCTACATTATTCATATACAAAAAATCCGAATAAACCGAACCGAATTCAAACCAAACTTGGATTGAACAGCCCTTGCTTATTTTAGGCAATTTGGATTTATTTAATTTATTTCCGGTTTAATGACTTGATAACCGGTTAAGTGATTTAGGTTTTCAATTTGTCTCTTTATATACGTAAGGGCTACGCCGAACAAAAAGTTTAATCAATCAAGAACAATATTCTTCTTCATCAACTCTTCCCTGTACACGAACAAATATATATTCACACGAGCCAAGGATCTTTGATACAGAAAACTTAGTAAGATTCAAGAGAAAACATTCCTTTCTTCATAAACCGAATCTATGTTCATAAAACACCGATTCGCTTCTCACCTGTTAAAACTCCGGTGAAGAACTTCAACAAAACGATGAGGAACACTCCGATTACAAGATCAAAACGGAAAAGAGAAAGTTCTAGATAATTCTTAAGAAAGCAGAAATGAGCACATGCTCGTTATAAAGAGAAAGTCGCAGCCCAAAGATTCCTCTGCGTAACAAACTTCACACGCGCTTTCAATAACCATTCAACACGTGTAATCCCAAGTTGCACCAACATCCCCCAATATGAGACTTCCACGTGTATCCTCTGTTTTCCTATATCAAATCCTCCCTCGCCGAAGAACCTTGACCACAATGTTCAAAATCAGGAAAGCGGCGTTGTAAATCGAAAAGGAATTCCCACGTAGCCTCTTCCGGCGTCTCATTAGACCATTGAACTAGAACCTTAGTTACTGCGCGCCCCTGTCTTTTAACCATGCCACGCTCGAGAATGCGGACTGGTATCTTGTGCAAGACGTCACAGACAACAGAAGGTAACTGAGAGGAAGTAGTTGCAGTACCTACTAACTTCTTGAGCTGGGACCACAGAGCCTTGAGGGTAGGGTTGCAGCATGACAAAAACAGAGTCCCCGATGTTAAACTGTCGCTCAGTCCTGTGTTGATCTGCTAGTTGTTGCATACGATGTTGAGCCCGCAACAAGTGGAATTTCAAGATGAGTATCATACTTTCCCTTTCCTCCAAACTTCTTGCCACCACATCCACTTTTGATTCACCAGGCAAATAAGGCAAATGCAGAGGAGGGGATTGACCATAAACGGCTTCAAAGGGGCTCATTTGAGTGGCAGAGTGAAATGTTGTATTATACCAGAACTCTGCTAAAGGTAACCATTTACTCCACATCTCAGGGCGCTCACTACACATACAGCGAAGATAAGTCTCAAGGCATCGATTGACAACCTCAGTTTGTCCATCACTTTGAGGGTGATAGGCGCTTGAGAAATTGAGTGATGTTCCTTGGAGACTGAACAATTCCTTCCAAAATGTTCTCAAGAAGACAGTATCATGATCACTAACAATTGTTTTTGGGCAACCATGTAACTTGAAGACATTATCCAAGAAAACTTGAGCCACTGACATAGCTGAATAGGGATGTGACAGAGCCATGAAGTGAGCCGCTTTGCTTAATCGATCCACCACGACAAATATTACTGTCTTTCCACTAGAAGGAGGTAAACCATCGATGAAATCCATGGAAATGTCAGTCCAGATAGTCTCCGGAATGTGCAGAGGCTGAATCAGACCCGGAGAAGCTACTGTCTCATATTTGCATCGCTGACAAACCACACAACTGCGAATAAACTGTTGAATATCCTTAGACATACCTTTCCAATAAAATAGACTTTTGACCCGCTGATGAGTAGCATCCCTTCCAGAGTGGCCACTGCTACCAGACCCATGTAACCATTGTAAGATTGAATTCTTAAGATTCACACTCGCAGGGATCACAATTTTACTCTTCCTTCTTAATATGCCTTGTCCCCAAGAGTAATGCCTGCGTGATAACTTGTCCTTTTTCAAAGCTTCAATTATATCTTGTATCAGAGGATCAGAAATGTACTGAGCTTGTATGTCTTTCATGAGATCACATTCCAAAACTGTCATGGCCATGTGTAACACTTCAGAACCTTCCACTCTTGACAAAGCATCAGCCACCAGATTCTCCTTCCCTTGCTTATACTGAATTTCATAATCAAACTCCAACAGTTTGGGTAACCATTGTTGCTGAATAGGTGTGTTTAACCTTTGTTCCAACAGATACTTTAGACTGCGTTGATCCGTCTTGATAATAAAGTGATTAAGCAACAAGTAATGGCGCCATTTTTGCACTGCAAAGACCACCGCCAACAGTTCTTTTTCATAAATGGACAAGTGCAGCTGTCTTCCTTTCAAATGTCGACTGATGTATGCGAGAGGATTACCATCTTGCATCAACACTGCTCCTATGCCCTGACCACACGCATCAGTTTCTACAACAAATGCCTTGTCAAACATAGGTAGAGCCAACACTGGAGCTTGACAAAGAGCTATTTTTAATGTCTCAAATGCCAACTGAGACTCATTTGACCATACAAAAGCATCTTTCATCGTTAAGAAAGTCAGAGGTTTAGCAATGATACCAAAGTTTTTGATAAAACGTTGATAGTAGCCAGCCAATCCCAAGAATCCCCGGAGTTGCTTCAAGTTAGATGGTGTTGGCCAATCTGCAACTACTTTAATCTTATTAGGGTCTGTAGAAATTCCCTTCTCCTCAATATAATGACCCAAGTACTCCACTCTGTCAGTAGCAAAATCACACTTGCTGCGTTTAGTAAAAAGTCTATGCTGTTGCATCAATTCAAAAACAGCCTCCAAGTTCTTGATGTGCATTTCAACAGAAGAACTGTACACCAAAATGCCGTCAAAGAAAACAAGGACAAATTTGCGCAAGAAATCCTTGAAAACTGAATTCATAAGACCTTGAAATGTTGCAGGAGCGTTAGTTAAGCCAAAGGGCATGACCACATACTCATAATGTCCACAATGAGTCTTGAAAGCAGTTTTGTGAATATCTGCGGGTTCCATTCTGACTTGATGGTATCCAGCTCTTAAATCAATTTTTGAGTAAAACTTAGACCCTCCCAACTCATCCATAAGGTCTTCAATTAATGGAATAGGAAACCTATTCTTTACTGTCTTCCCATTCAAACTCCTATAGTCCACACAAAGCCGCCAAGACCCATCCTTCTTTTTGACTAAAACCACCGGAGAGGCGTATGGACTAGAGCTAGGTTGTATAGTACTATTTGTTAACATTTCC